ATTTTTTATATAAATATGTTACCATTTTTTTCTGCGGTAGATCAGATTTTATCAAAGGCTATAGATATATATATATATAAAAATAATAATTTTTATAAATGGCGTGTGTGATACACGCTTAATAAATCATGTTCTTTCGATACAAACTGACGAGGCATTTTTTTTCTAAAGTAGGTTGCCATTTTTTTCTGCGGTAGACCAGTTGCTATCAAGGCTAGAAAACCCAGTCTACCCTGCTATTTATCCATAGCTGGGAGGAGAAAAAGACGATTCATATAATTCTTAAAGGTATTAGCACGTAAGTGAACGTAATGGATTTATATTGGAATTCGGGTCAATTCTCCGATTCCTCAATACGAGCCGCTATCCATTACTCCATCGTAGGTGAACAAATCCGTGTAAAATAATACTTTCATTAGTTTTTTTTTATGTAACAGCATTATAATTCCCAGACATGTTTCATTGGCTCCTGTCTTGGTTGACTGAGATAAGCGGGTGCCCCGATTAAGCAGTGACCGATTTAAGCGAAAACCTCTGTACATATTTTCTCAATTGAAAGATGAATTAGACTCTAATACGTAAATATGGAATTTTCAAAAGAATGCAACTGAAGGATGATTTTTCATGGGAAAAGAAATAAAAAGCGTTTGAATGAGTTGCGGGAGCGTCTCAAAGCTACACAGTGTGATTTATACTCTTGTAAGTTAATAAACGACCGGTCCTATCTCCAGCCATCCATAGTCAGTTTACCGCAGTAGTCAATATGTGATACAAATATAGTTTTATGGTATGCTATATTTATGGGTTAAAATATATAAACTCAATATGAAGACTTTTGCGTCGTATGTAAATGTCATTGTGGATATGGGATATTTTTTTTTAAACATAGCGACTGTCTGTTTTCATGCATGAATGGCCTGAAGATTGCGTTCAAGCATGAAAAGACTGTCATTTTTGTGTTCATCCTAGTTTCATATATATATATATATATATATATATATATATATATATATATATATATATATATAATATTAATTGGAAAATATACATACATATGAAAAATATATATAAAAAAATACCCATACATGTATATTTTCAGAAAAAATTTTTTCCAAGAGGAAGAATCCAGGTAGAACTCAATGTCTAGGACAGAGTAAGGAGGATATAATAAATTTTTTAAAAAAAAAACACTAATATTCCATGGTCATAATGGAATAAATTATAACCATGGAATATTATTGTTTAAGCCTTTTTTTTATATATATATATATATAATTTATAAAACTGTTATTTTGGAAATTAGCTTTATTTTATTCACACCAGCACACAGTGCAGTATTATATATTATCATTTTGTCGGATTGCTATTCATATCTGATCTCCATTTGATCTTTAATTCATATATATATATATATATATATATATATATATATATATATATATATATATATATAGATAGATAGGAAAAAGGTTATAATTATTCCAACGAGAGAAAAATGTATATTTTAAAAAAAGAGAGAAACCGGAAACGTTTTTTTGTTATAATGTGGATTTGTTTTCGTGTATATATTATATTTCATTCTTCATATTTTTGCTACACGAGTTTCCGGTCTCGTGACGTTCTTCAGGCAAATTAAATGAATCAATTTTTAAAGGAATAAGATTTCCTTATGTTGTTAATATTTCATTGTTCCTTTTCTGTGCTTGTAGTGAGCTTTGATCTGTTGGCAAAAGTGACATTTTGCCTAAGTGGTAATAAAATCATCTGGTTTGGTCTTAGTGGTAGCGATGACAGATGTGTTGATGATAGATGCCCCGTATCCCCACATCACACCAGAGACTGTCAAATCTATTTCTCTTTTTGTTTTTGTGTATCGTGTGTGCATGTGAGCGTTCATGTCTTCACTAGTTTGCATATGAATCATCATACATCAAATATACATACACACACATACATATATATATATATATATATATATATATATATATATATATATATATATATATATATATATATATAACAAATATATGGATATAGATCCGACAGTATGAAGAAAAATATACGGAAAAAACAAACAAATATCCTAATATGCAATTATGCTGTTTTAATGTTAATATAATGTAATGTCAACGTTGGACGTTTCGGTCTAGTAGACCATCTTCAGGACATATTCATGTTAATTATGTTTTATGAATATGTCCTGAAGATGGTCTATTAGACCGAAACGTCCGACGTTGACATTATATTAACATTAAAACAGCATAATTGCATATTAGGATTTTTGTTTGTTTTTTCCGTATATTTTTCTTCATATATATATATATATATATACACATTTATACAAGCTCTTAATCCTATTAATGCTCGATCAATGATATCGAGCACTCTATTGCAAAGACTGCTTGATTTAAATGTACTTTCTTTCCACTGAATTACAGCCATTTATGGTCTTATATTCTATTTGTTATCACTATATATATATATATATATATATATATATATATATATATATATATTGTTTTGGCATACAGGTCATCTCCACGAGCTGAAAAGTTACGGCGCCTCCAGACGCATTTTTTGAATTTATCCAGTCTTTCCTAGCAAATCGTGAAATGAGAGTTATCCTGAATGGCCACTCGTTAGATCCTTTCGTACTAACGCGGGTGACCCTAAGGACTCCATTCTGGGCCCTACTTTGTTATTAATAATGATTACTGACCTTCCGCTTGGTATCTACGCTTATGACACAAGCATTTAGACCTGTCTTGATAACAAGGCTGATCAGTCCGACAAGGTCAAAATGACCTCAAGTCCGTTGTTAACTGGGGCAAATGATGGCTTGTTAATTTTAACACCTCCAAAACTAAACTTTATCATCTGAGAAACCCTCTCCGCCTTCCATCAGCAGGGCTGATGCTAAACTCCATGAATGTAACTCTTTGCTATATTTCAGGCTAACGTTATCAGTTTACATGATGTAGAGAGACTATATTGAATCCATTGCTAGATCAGCTGCTAAGAAAGTTGGCTCACTGTGTCGTGCTAGTTAATTTCTCTTTCCTGAATCTATCTTATGTCCATGCTTAAAATATTGCTGACACTTAGGGTCTGGTGCTCGTGTTCTTTACCTTGAGATCCTTGATAAAATGCAAAGAAGAATCAGCAATATTATCGGTCCTGATCTGGCATCTCGGCTTCAGTCATTTTCCCACCGCCGTAAAGTTGCATGTCTGTGTTTTTTGCATAAATACTTTCTTGGTAATTGTTCGGGTGAGCTCTTCGCTATGGTAACGAGACGTTAAACGCAGTACTAGAGATTTCACCAATTTACGGTTCATCTGGCTATAAGTAACCGTAAATTATATGCTAGGAGTTTCTTGTCTCTTTCGGCTTCATTCATTTCAGCCAAATTTAATCTGCAAAAAATTAAATGTAATGTCAATCGCTATCTGCTGTTCTCCTGATTGCTCTTTTTCTTCGCGCTCATTAGTAATATATATATATATATAATCATAAATTAAGAAAACACCTTAAAAATCCATATTTATTATAATTGATTTCATGTATAATGTATCTCTTCAGATAGAATCTTTTGAAAATATGGAATCAATCCCTACATATAGGCAGATATCCCGGTATATCTGTCTGTCGAGACTAAATACTGTTTTACGATATTTTTTTACGTATATATATATATATATATATATATATATATATATATGTATAGATAGATAATATTATATGGTGAAATACATACATACATATATATATATATATATATATATATATATATATATATATATATATATATATATATATAAATATATATGTTTAGATAGATAATATTAGTGGTGAATATACATATATATATATATATATATATATATATATATATATATATAGATAGATAGATAGATAGATAGATAGTTAGATAATATTAGTGGTGAATATACATATATATATATAAATTTCGAGAGGATAGAATCCAGGTAGAACTCAATGTCCAGGGCAGAGTAACAAGAATATATATATATATATATATATATATATATATATATATATATATGTGAAGATGAAGAAATATAGTTTTAAGGTGTGCAATATTTATAGTATAGCGTGCTCAATATCAGAGATAGAGCGTATGTAAATATAAATATAAACGTGAACATGTGAAGTCAACACTCAGAGGTGACAGGCTGTTTCATGCTGGACGCACGCACACATGTGCACACACACGCACACACACACACAACATATATATATATATATATATATATATATATGAAGATGAAGAAATATAGTTTTAAGGTGTGCAATATTTATAGTATAGCGTGCTCAATATCAGAGATAGAGCGTATGTAAATATAAATATAAACGTGAACATTGAAGTCAACACTCAGAGGTGACAGGCTGTTTCATGCTGGACGCACGCACACATGTGCACACACACGCACACACACATATATATATATATATATATATATATATATATATATATATACATACATATATCATACATATATATGTATATGTACATAAATAATAATATTAGATCCGTAAGTGTAAAGAATAATGCAAGTAGTTCTTTGTAATATAAAATATTAAAAAGATAGACCCGCAGGGAGCTCAATGTATAGAATACAGGGCAATATGATTTACATCCAAGAAAACACATCACGAAAATACGGTAATAAATTATGGTTTATTTCGACCAATAAGTTTCCTCAGACCAGAGATATAAAAATGTAAAATTTTAAGATTTATCTTGGGTCTGATTTTATATATATATATATATATATATATATATAATGGATGCGATACATAGAAAAAACTGTACAGCACAAACTGCTCCAGACAGAAAGTAAAACAGATTTAAAAAAAAAACCCCAAAAACAAGCACTATATAAAGGGAATGAATAAAAATTTCGTTTTTGTAATGTCCCCAACGGGGACACCTATGGCATTGATTTCTATTTAGGAAGAATCGTATACTCCCCGCCATGGTCGGTCGAACTGAAACTGTCTACAGCCTCTGCCTTCGCCGGAAGCTAACTATCCAAGGTAACCGGCTTTCAAGGGAGATAATTGCCTGCTACATCTCTAATATCATACCAGTTAATACTCACCAGTCTTATTCATCTTTTTGTCACTTGTCTGTGTCTTCAACTGAACCAGGGTATATGACTTTTCAGCCTTACGCCTTTGTTTCCCCAACAAAGTGGGACGAGGGTTCGATCTGAACGGGAGAACACATTTTCTTTACTTAAACAATGAATAAACGCTTTAAACGCTGTTTAATAAAAAAATATGGACGTCTATTTCAAATAAGAATTGCCCACTATAATAACATTCGAAGTAGAAAAACGTTGCATTAAAGATAAATACATTAATTTTCTCGTTTTTTTTCTACAGCACTTCCTTGATGCATCTTTGTGCAAATAGATCTCAAGTGAAAGGGACAAGCATTGCTTAGTCTTTAAAAAGATGGGAAGTTGTGGAGATCCATGACCACCCATGTCCTGAAGAGACACGCCGCAAGGAATAAGATTATCAATATTCTGTAAATACCATGTTCTTGACATGCTTCTTCGCAAATCCCTTTTCTTTATTATCCGTGAATTGCTACGACTTATTGAGTAAAGATATTGGAATGAATTTCTGTTGCCTTCTCCTCAGTTTTCCTTCTCTTAAATTGGTTACTAGACAAGGATAGAGAGACGAGTTTATCCTGCTAGTTCTGTTGACGTCGCGGCTTTGAATTCAAAAGTCTATTCAGGTAATATTTGCGATTTAACCCATAGCTGTTTGAAGGAGAGAAGAGGTAAAATCGTAACTTTCCCGGGGACTTCAATGCAAAGACAACACAAAAAAACTAGACCGGAATTTGAACACTACCCACCAATTTCACTAGTCCTTGGTAAGACGATAAACTATATCCGGCAGCAAGGCCTCTGACCGTGAGATTGGAAGTAGAATAGAACCACCTCTTAATTGCTGCCAAACAAAAACACTATGACAGTATAAAAAAAACACAAAGAAACACTATGAAAGTATAAAAATACATTTTTATAGTAGAAATACCAGCAATACTGTTATGATGTTGATTTGGGGTTAATAAGACAAACGCCAAATAACACGTAACAATAAAAAGGAGTTTATTCGGTTGGTAAGCAGGTACAGAAATCGCCTGAGTAGTCTATAACTAACTCAGTCAAGAACTTCTCCGACTCTCTGTCTTTTGACATGCCACTATTTAACGTCTTAGTTTGTAGACAAGTTCATCTTCAAGAAGGGGTGGTAGGTTTCCTATACAACAAATACATATTTATATAAAAATGGACCAACGACACATATAGCAAAATTAACCAACAATCCATTTTATCTGTAGTTAAAGGCTTACTATTGCGTTCAAGATATATTTAGTTGAAGTCATAAAATTGTGTTCAAAATATTTAGATTTTTGCATTAAATAACCCACAGAGGTGTTGATATACCGCTAGATAAAATTAATCAACCAATCAATTCCACTTCTTGCACAAATAACCGTCACTTTACCAGATGATCCAGCATATATTTCACGAATGAAAAAAATAACCATTCTTGGACTTTGTGCTGGTTTACGTTTTTGCGTGAGAAAAACAAAATTTGGTTTGTTTGACGGCATACCAAACATAATGGCTTATTTAATACCGGAAAGGTTTTTATTGTTAGTAATAACTTTTTTTTCCCAAAAATGAATGTATTGCTGGTAATATTTTTTCTTTTTCAAAAATGTACTGCTGGTAATAATTAAAAAAGTATGGCTGGTATTAAAATCTATTTTTACACTTTCATAGTGTTTTGACCCATTTGGGAGGTTAACTATTTGCTCCTAGCTGAGAACCCGACAGTTGCGACTAACTCGGGTCAGAGTGGACCTGGGGACATCAGCAATTAAGAGGTGGTTCAATGCTCCTCAAAACCTCCTAATCAAAGGCCTTGCTGCCGGATGCAGTTTATTGTCTTACCCAGGAAGGGTTGGTTTGTGAATTTGTTAACATAGTAATTGTAAGTTCAATTCCTTGTAATCGGACTCATTGGTAAAGTGTGGGCAATATTTAAAATTAAGTACTGGATTAGATATAGGCAGTGAAATGAGAAAAGTCTACTCCCGTATTAAATAAAGAGTTCAGTTCGGAATTTCCAGTAGGTTACCAGGATTGATATACACCTACATAGATGAGACCTCGACAGGGGCCACCACCTCGGGTCAGGGTCAAACTGGGGCCATCAGAAATTAAGAGGTGGTTCCTGCTCCTCGAAATTCCTAATCAAAGGCCTTGCTGTCGGATGCAGTTTATCGTCTCACCCTGGACGCGGATGTAGTTTATCGTCTTACCCTGGACTCGGATGTAGTTTATCGTCATAACCAGGACGCAGATGTAGTTTATCGTCATAACCAGGACGCGGATCTAGTTTATCGTCATACCCTGGACGCGGATCTAGTTTATCGTCATACCCTGGACGCGGATCTAGTTTATCGTCATAACCAGGACGCGGATCTAGTTTATCGTCTTACCCTGGACTCGGATGTAGTTTATCGTCATAACCTGGACGCGGATGTAGTTTATCGTCTTACCCTGGACTCGGATGTAGTTTATCGTCATAACCAGAACGCGGATGTAGTTTATTGTTTTACCCTGGACTCGGATGTAGTTTATCGTCATAACCAGGACGCGGATGTAGTTTATCGTCTTACCCTGGACGCGGATGTAGTTTATCGTCTTACACAGGACGCGGATGTAGTTTATCGTCTTACCCTGGACTCGGATGTAGTTTATCGTCATAACCAGGACGCGGATGTAGTTTATCGTCATAACCAGGACGCGGATGTAGTTTATCATCATATCCAGGACGCGGATGTAGTTTATCGTCTTACCCTGGACAAGATCTAGTTTATCGTCTTTTCCAGGACGTATGTCTGAATTAGTATATCTGTCGTCTGGCCACGACCACGAATTGGCATGTCCACCGTCTGGCCACGACCACGAATTGGCATGTCTACCGTCTGGCCACGACCGCGAATTGGTATGTCCACCGTCTGACAAGGACCGCGAATTGGCATGTCCACCGTCTGGCCACGACCGCGAATTGGATGGTACACCGTCAGGCCACGACCACGGATTGGCATATCCACCGTCTGGCCAGGACCACGAAGTGGGCTGTCTACCGTCTGGCCACGACAGCGAATTGGTATGTCTGCCGTCTGACCACAACCGCGATTTGGTAGGTCTGTCGTCTGGCCACGACCTCGAATCGGTATGTCCATCGTCTGACAACGAATTGACATGTCCAACGTGTGACCACGACCGCGAATTGGCATGTCCACTGTCTGACCACGACCGCAAATTGGCATGTCCACCGTCTGGCCACGACATCGAATTGGTATATCTGGCGTCTGACCACGACCACGAATTGGCGTTTCCGCCGTCTGGACACGAACTCGAATTGGCATGTCTGTCGTCTGACCATGACCGCGAATTGGTATGTCTGTCGTCTGGCCACAACCTAGAATTGATATGTCCACCGTCTGGCCAGGACCACGAATTGGCATGTCCACCGTCTGGCCACGACCATGAATTGGCATGTCCACCGTCTGGCCACGACCGCGAATTGGTGTGTCTGCCGTCTGACCACGACCGCTAATTGGTATGTCTCTCGTCTAACCACGACCGCGAATTGTTGTCTGCCGTCTGGCCACGACAACGAAGTGGTATGTCCACCGTCTGGCCACGACCGCAAATTGGTATGTCCATCGTCTGACAACGACCGCGAATTGGCATGTCCACCGTCTGGCCACGACCGCGAATTGTTATGTCCACCGTCTGACCACGACTGTGAATTGGCATGGCAACCGTCTGGCCACGACCGTGAATTGGTATGTCCAACATCTGACCACGATCACGAATTGGCATGTCCACCGTCTGGCCACGACCGCGAATTGGCATGTACACCGTCTGACCCACGACCGCGAATTGGCATGTACACCGTCTGACCCACGACCACGAATTGGCATGTCCACCGTCTTGCGACGACCACGAATTGGCATGTCTACCGTCTGGCAAGGACCGCGAATTGGTATGTCTGCCGTCTCACCACGACCGCGAATTGGTATGTCTGTCGTCAGGCCACGCCCTCGAATTGACATGTCGACCCTCTGGCCATGACCACGAATTGGCTTGTCCACCGTCTGGCCACGACCACGAATTCGCATGTCCACCGTCTGGCCACGACCGCGAATTGGTATGTCTGCCGATTGACCACGACCGCAAATTGGCATGTCGTCGTCTGACCACGACCGCGAATTGACATGCCCACCGTCTGACCACGACTGCGAATTGGCATGTCGGTCGTAAGCCACGACAGGGAATTGGTATATCTGGCGTCTTACCATCACCACGAATTGTCCACCGTCTGGCCACGACCGCGAATTGGCATGTCCACTGTCTGACCACGACCGCAAATTGGCATGTCCACCGTCTGGCCCCGACATCGAATTGGTATATCTGGCGTCTGACCACGACCACGAATTGGCCTGTCCACCGTCTGGCCACGACCTCGAATTGGCATGTCTGTCGTCTGACCATGACCGCGAATTGGTATGTCTGTCGTCTGGCCACAACCTAGAATTGATATGTCCACCGTCTGGCCACGACCACGAATTGGCATGTCCACCGTCTGGCCACGACCATAAATTGGCATGTCCACTGTCTGGCCACGACCGCGAATTGGTGTGTCTGCCGTCTGACCACGACCGCTAATTGGTATGTCTCTCGTCTAACCACGACCGCGAATTGTTGTCTGCCGTCTGGCTACGACCTCGAATCGGTATGTCCATCGTCTGACAACGACCGCGAATTGGCATGTCCACCGTCTGGCCACGACCACGAATTGGCATGTCCACCGTCTGGCCACGACCGCGAATTGTTATGTCCACCGTCTGACCACGACTGTGAATTGGCATGTCCACCGTCACTAAATTGGCATGGTCAACGTCTTGCGACGACCACGAATTGGCTTGTCCACCGTCTGGACCGGCCACGACCACGAATTGGCTTGTCCACCGTCTGCCCACGACCGCGAATTGACATGTCTGTCGTCTGAGCACGACCGCGAATTGGTATGTCCACGATCTGTCCACGAACACGAATTGGTATATCTGGCGTCTTACCACGACTGTCACCACGACCGCAAATTGGCATGTCCACCGTCTGGCCCCGACACGAATTGCCACGACCACAATTGGTGTACCGTCTGTCCACCGTCTGGCCACGACCGCGAATTGGTATGTCCACCGTCTGGCCACGACCACGAATTGGCAAGTCCACCGTCTGGCCACGACCGCGAATTGGCATGTCTACCGTCTGGCCACGACCGCGAATTGGTATGTCCATAATCTGACCACGATCGCGAATTGGCATGTACACCGTCTGACCCTGACGACCACGAATTGGCATGTACACCGTCTGACCCACGACCGCGAATTGGCATGTACACCGTCGACCCACGACCACGAATTGGCATGTCCAACGTCTTGCCACGACCACGAATTGGCATGTGTACCGTCTGGCCACGACCTCGAATTGGTATGTGTGCCGTCTCACCACGACCGCGAATTGGTATGTCTGTCGTCAGGCCACGCCCTTGAATTGACATGTCCACCGTCTGGCCACGACCGCGAATTGGTATGTCTGTCGTAAGTCACGACCGCGTAATGTTATGTTCACCGTCTGACCACGACACGGAATTTGCATGTCCACCGTCTGGTCACGACCGCGAATTGGTATGTCTGTCGTAAGCCACGACCGCGAATTGGTATATCTGGCGTCTGACCACGACCACTAATTGGCATGTCCACCGTCTGACCACGACCGCGAATTGGCATGTCTGTCGTCTGACCACGACCGCGAATTGGTATTTCTGTCGTCTGGCCACGACCTCGAATTGATATGTCCACCATCTGGACACGACCACGAATTGGCATGTCCACTGTCTGACCACGACCGCGAATTGGCATATACACCGTCTGGCCACGACCTCGAATTGGTATGTCTGTCGTTTGGACACGACAGCGAATTGGCATGTCCACCGTCTAGCCACGACCTCGAATTGGTATATCTGGCGTCTGACCACGACCACGAATTGGCATGTCCACCGTCTGGCCACGACCTCGAATTGGTATGTCTGTCGTCTGACCATGACCGCGAATTGGTATGTCTGTCGTCTGGCCACGACCTCGAATTGATATATGGTTATGATGTTAATTTGGGGTTAATAAAGACAAACGCCAAATAACATGTAACAATAAAATGGGGTTTATTCTGTTGGTAAGTTGGTACAAATATCGCCTGAGTAGTCTATAACTAACTCAGCCCAGAACATCTCCCACTGTCTTTTGACATGCCACTATTTAACGTCCTTGTTTGTAGACGAGTTCATCTTCAAGAGGGGTGGTAGGTTCCTACACAACACCTCCCCCTTGAGATAAATTCCGGAGGAATTAATATATTTTCCTTTACTTAAACTTGCAAAAATGTTTTCTGGTGAAAGGCAAAGGATATGTGTTGTCTTTTAAGCAATCATTTAGACCCGTAGAAAAATCGGCACACATCCGAATTTTATTTTTTTCTTCTTAACATATACAACAGGGCAGGCCCACTCTGAAAATTCAATGCGTGAAATAACTCCTAAATTTTCAAGCCGTTCCAATTCCTTGTCAGTCTGTTCCAAAACACCAAATGGCACATTTCTTTCTCGCTTGAAAATAGGTTTTACATTTTCCTTCACTTCAAATTTTGCCTTCGCCTTTTTGCAACATCCCAGACCTTCTGAAAATACTTGTGAAAATTTTATTTTCAGATCTTTCAAATTTTCTGTAACCCGATTTTTACACGGAGAAGAAACATTAATCTATTGCAAAACGAATTTATAGGGAGTTTCCATAAATTAAAAAGTATAATCCAATCTGTTCCAAACAAATTTGAAGCATTTTGTAGCACATACACTTTAGACTTTTGTGTCTTACCAACAAATGAAATATTACAAGAAAATTCACCTTGAAAATGAAATTTTCTTCCAGAAATCCCGCGAGCCACTTTTTCAGTCTTTTTAAGCAAAGGTCTGCCTATTTTAATCCATGTTGCTGTATTAATAATGGAAATATCACTTCCAGTATCTAGCTGTAGTTTAAGATTTTTTCCATTAATTTTTACTTGTACGAATTTTCTTTAATGCCCCTCCTCAATCTCCTGACGTGACAACACAATATTCAAAATATCTTTTTTCGACTTAATTTTTTTTCTTTTCCTTTTACAATGAGTACTTATATGGCCTTTATTGCCACACGAATAGCAATTTTTGTCGCGAAAAAAACATTCACTTTTACAATGACCACCACCGCATCCAAAGCACGTTGGTTTTTTAACGTTTTTATTAACTATTCCCGTTTTTGGTCGAATAGCATGGACACGGGATATGTCTTTTTCTTCAATTTGCGTATTGTCATGTTTTAAGTTTTCAGTTCTTTGACATTCTTCCGTAACCTTCTGCAAAGTAATCTCGGAATTTTGTTCGAGTTTTGCCAATATTCGGGACCTTATGTCCTTATCTTTGCTAGAAGTCAAGCCTTGAACGAATATGAAACATTTAAATCGATCAATTGAAAGATCATGTAACATAAAACGTTCACACATTCTGTTAAAATTTCCAGCATACGTAACAACATCCTCATCGTCACGCTTTACCATATTCAAACACGAGAAACGAGTATGAAACAAACTAACTCGCTCGCCAAAAATACTAGATAAAGTATTAACAGTTTCTTCGAAAGAAATGTCACTAGTTTTTCTTGGAAGGACAAAATTCGTATACTTATTATTTTCATCTGTACCCAACTTTTGTAAAAGTAAACTCACTTTTTGTTCATCAGTCCAACCTTCATATTTTTTTTCAAATATTGTTTCAAATCTTCTGAAATACGCAGGAAATGTTATACCCTCCTCTGGGTTAAATTTGAACTCGGTAATAGAATTAGCAATACCTTCGGCCGTGAATGACGAATTTACTTGATTCTTTAGTAACATTGCTTCAAATAAAGCCTTTGTGTCATTTCGCTGCTGAAACAATTTTTGTTGCTCTTGTTGCTAAATTTGGTTTTGCACTAGAGTTTTCGTTAACGCAATCAAATCTTCCATTATGCGTAATAGATTACACAAAACACTTTTCGAAAACAGTCAAAAAAGGGAAAAACACGTATATATCCAACAATAAGCACAAGTCTTACTTCTTTTTGGCACGTTGAAATCCTATTTCTTCTTGAAGAACAAAGTTCGACGTATTGTTTTTCTTTCTTTCTTTCTTTCAGTGCGAGAAAAAAAAATTATATTGTCCACCTAGAGTTGAAAAATTCTCCACTCAGCGTGATGAATGAATCTCTCGTCGCCAGTGTTATGATGTTAATTTGGGGTTAATAAAGACAAACGCCAAATAACATGTAACAATAAATGGGGTTTATTCGGTTGGTAAGTTGGTAGAGATATCGCCTGAGTAGTCTATAACTAACTCAGCCCAGAACATCTCCCACTGTCTTTTGGCATGCCACTATTTAACGTCCTTGCTTGTAGACGAGTTCATCTTCAAGAGGGGTGGTAGGTTCCTACACAACATATGTCCACCGTCTAGCCACGACCACGAATTGGCATGTCCACCGTCTGGCCACGACCACGAATTGGCATGTGCACCGTCTGGCCACGACCACGAATTGGCATGTCCGCCGTCTGGTCAAGACCAAGAATTGGCATGTCTACCGTCTGGCTACGACCGCGAATTGGTATGTCCACTGTCTGACCACGACGGAGAATTGGTGTGTCTGTCGTCTGGCCACGACCTGGAATTGACATGTAAACCGTCTGGCCACGACCGGGAATTGGTATGTCTGTCGTCTAACCACGACCGCGAATTGGTATGTGCCGTCTGGCTACGACCTCGAATTGACATGTCCACCGTCTGGCAACGACCACGAATTGGCATGTCCACCGTTTGGCCACGACCACGAATTGGCATGTTTACAGTCTGGCCACGACTGCGAATTGGTATGTCCACCGTCTGGCCACGACCACGAATTGGTATGTCTGTCGTCTGGCCACGACCTAGAATTGATATGTCCACCGTCTGGCCACGACAACGAATTGGCTTGTCCACCGTCTGGCCACGACCATGAATTGGCATGTCCACCCTCTGGCCACGACCGCGAATTGGTGTGTCTGCCGTCTGACCACGACCGCTAATTGGTATGTCTGTCGTCTAACCACGACCGCGAATTGTTATGTCTGCCGTCTGGCTACGACCTCGAATTGACATGTCCACCGTCTGGCCACGACCGCTAATTGGTATGTCCATCGTCTGACAACGACCTCGAATTGGCATGTCCAACGTCTGTCCACGACACCAAATTGGCATGTCTGCCGTTTGACCACGACCGCGAATTGGCATGTCTGTCGTCTGACCACGACCGCGAATTGACATGTCCACGGTCTGGCCACGACCTCGAATTTGTATATCTGGCGTCTTACCACGACCACGAATTGGCATGTCCAACGTCTGGCCACAACCGCGATTTGGTATGTCTGTCGTGTGTCCACGATCGCGAATTGGCATGTCCACGGTCTAGCCACGACCGCGAATTAGTATGTCCACCCTCTGGCCACGACCGCGAATTGGTATGTCCACCGTCTGACTACGATCGCGAATTGGCATGTGCACAGTCTGGCCATGACCACGAATTGGCATGTCCACCATCTGGACGCGACCACGAATTGGCACGTATACCGTCTGACCCACGACCTCGAATTGACATGTCCACCGTCTGGTCATGACCGCGAATTGGTATGTCCACTGTCTGACGACGACCGCGAAATGGCATGTCCACAGTCTGGCCACGACCTCGAAGTGGTATGTCTATCGTAAGCCACGACCGCGAATTGGTATATCTGGCGTCTGACCACGACCACGATTTGGCATGTCCACCGTCTGACCACGACCGCGAATTGGCATGTCTGTCGTCTGACCATGACCGCGTATTGGTATGTCTGTCGTCTGGCCACGACCTCGAATTGATATGTCCACCGTCTGACCACGACCACGAATTGGCATGTCCGCCGCCTGGCCAAACCACGAATTGGTATGTCTACCGTCTGGCTACGACCGCGAATTGGTATGTCCACTGTCTGACCACGACGGCGAATTGGTGTGTCTGTCGTCTGGCCACGACCTGGAATTGACATGTCCACCGTCTGGCCACGACCGCGAATTGGTATGTTTGTCGTCTAACCACGACCGTGAATTGGTATGTCTGCCGTCTGGCTACGACCTCGAATTAACATGTCCACCGTCTGGCCACGACCACGAATTGGCATGTCCACTGTCTGGCCACGACGGCGAATTGGTGTGTCTGTCGCCTGGACATGACTTGGAATTGACATGTTCACCGTCTGGCCACGACCACGAATTGGCATGTCCACCGTCTGGCCACGGCCACAAATTGGCATGTCCAACGTCTGGCCACGACCACGAATTGGCATGTCTACCGTCTGGCCACGACCGCGAATTGACATGTCCACTGTGTGACCACGACCGCGAATTGGCATGCCCACCGTCTGGCCACGACCACGAATTGTTATCTGTCGTTTGGCCACGACCGCGAATTGGCATGTCCACCCTCTAGCCACGACCGACAATTGTTATATCTGGTGTCTGACCACGACCTCGAATTGGTATATCTGGCGTCTGACCACGAACACGAATTGGCATTTCCGCCCTCTGGCCACGAACTCGAATTGGTATGTCTGTCGTTTGGACACGACTGCGAATTGGCATGTCCACCGACTGGCCACGACCACAAATTGGCATGTCCACCGTCTGGCCACCACCACGAATTTGCATGTCCACCGTCTGGCCACGACCACGAATTGGCATGTCTTCCATCTGGCCACGACCGCGAATTGGTATGTCCACCGTTTGACCACGCCACGAATTGGCATGTCCACATTCTGGCCACGACCACGAATTGGCATGTCTACCGTCTGGCCACGACCACGAATTGGCATGTCCACCGTCTGGACACGACCACGAATTGGCATGTCCACCGTCTGGCCACGACCACGAATTGACATGTCCACCGTCTGGCCACGACACGAATTGGCATGTCCACTGTCTGGCCACGACCACGAATTGGCATGTCCACCGTCTGGCCACGACCACGATTTGGCATGACCACCGTCTGGCCGAGACCACGAGCGTGAGTGTTTTCTACCTTGATATACGACAATACCTACCCCAGCTTCATAACCAGCGGCTAATAAGAGTTTTTGTATTTGGATGCTATTTTGCTATGTTTTGATATTAAAATGTTTTTTTTTTCTGTCTGTAATTTGATTTTTTGTCTGTTGAGCAAATATTAAACCAACTGTACTGTATTTTGCAGTGTTAATCTGACGAACGTAAAAATAAGAAAAAATATTACAAAAATTGTAAAAAAATAAGAAACAGTAAAAAATTATTCTAAAAAATTAGAATAATGCCTAAAGGAGGATAAAAAAGATTATATAATTAATTACCAGCCGACTTACGACCAGACCAATTTGCGACCTGCGGGTCGTAACCAATCGTGGTCATAAGTCAACGACGACCTGTATATGCCAAATAAGCCAGCTATAACATTGTGTTGACATTGTATATTCAGAAAGTACTCCGAACAATGCTCGTTTTTGCACTTGAAATTAAGACCAGCCAGTGAAACCAATTTTTTACCATATGAGCTTTATTCCTTACCCTCAATTTGCGTCCATTTTGTTGTTTGCTTAGTGAAAAATTTCACTGGCGGGTCCAGCACAAAGGTAAAAATAAACCTGTCGCTTGTGCACGTCTGAGCAGCATTGACATTTTTTTACGCGGCTAACCAAATATAGTGAACGCGTAATAATGACAAAATGGCCGACTGGTTTAGCGCCATGATATGCATGAAACATTGCAAAAACAGTGTGGCGCCACCTGTCCACGGAGCAGGTAACAAACACCACAAAACCATAGTCAGGAAGAAGAAAAGAGAAAGGGTGTTTGTTAGACGTGTGGAAACAATTGGCGAGACACAACAAAGACTAACAATGCCAAGAAGTGCCGTAGGGGAAAGGAATGCCGAAAATCTCATCTTGTTGTCGAGGTATAAAAAATAAATAAATAAACAAATGAAATAAATAAAATGAAAACCGTGGTGGTGACGGGAAAGGGTGTCAAGCTGATTTTGTGAACATGAACGCCAGCGTATTGGCGACAGTAGAGACGATTTGAATGAGAAGTAGGAAGGGCAATTGGCGACGTAAGGATTGTAAAAATCTCAAGAAGTCTCAGTAGAGCACGTAAGGGTTGAATCACAGTCATGAGCAGGAGAGAGAGAGAGACAGAGAGACAGAGAGAGAGAGACAGACTGTCAGAGAGACAGACAGAGAGAGAGAATAAGAGAACTGTGGGTAGAGTAAAAAAAACAAGCATAGGGAATTACAATATCTGTTAGAGCGAGAATAAGATAGATAGATAGATTAGTTTAGTTTAATTGATTTATATATATATATATATATATATATATATATATATATATATATATATATATAGAGAGAGAGAGAGAGAGAGAGATAGAAGGGTCACGGAAGTAGCTGAAAGATATATATATATATATATATATATATATATATATATATATATATATATAATTCCTCAGATTTAACCTGTAGCAAAAGATAATATTTATAAAGGTAAAGGACAATACGAAAACTGTAATATTAGCCGACGCGTTTCTTCCCAAAAAATAAACGAAAAAGTCCACATTGGACGAAACGCGTCAGCTAATATTACTGTTTTCGTATTGTCTTTTACTTTTATATATATATATATATATATATATATATATATATATATGGATACCGGGTGCAACAGCAAAATTGTCCAAATCATGGGATAAGTGTCCATCCCACACATTGTTTAATATCTAAAAAACCACTAAACTAACTTTCTTTTTCCCAGTTTTTCAGATAAGACATTTAGCCACCTTGACAACATTGGTCTTAGAAATCACTGAAAAATCCAATTCAGCCTGAAAGAGAATAGGTTAAAATCGTTATGTGCCAACCCAACTATGTCTTTCCAACTGAGCAATGGTGGGGGGAAAACATCATTCAGGCCTTCAGTAGTACCAACATTTATACTCTGACTTCCATCTTCAAAGACCATTCAAGAACCATCAAGAGAATGGTGAATAAGTTTGAAAAAGAGGGAGAACAGTAGAGAGGAAAACTGGATCAGGAGGTCACAACAGGAAGTGGGATCATCATTTCAGCTTAGAGCTAAATAAATTTGAACTGCTCAAAGTAGAGTCCAATAGTGTAAAAAAAAACTTAGTCATCTTTAATAATCATGTCTAAGATACAAAGGTTCAAAGCTTAATTTAACAGTTGGACAATTTTGCTGTTACTCGATTTTGGACAATTTGACTGTTACTTTGGACAATTTTGCTGTTACACTTTATATATATATATATATATATATATATATATATATATGCTGGAGATTGCGTCTAGCATGAAACAGACTCTCGACTGTGGGTGTTGACCTCAGTGTTCACTTTTACATTTACATACGATCTATCCTGATATTGAGTTCTTAAAACCAAGAATATAGCGTACCTCAAATTTTATTTTATCATTTATATATAAGTGAAAGCTTGTGATTAGGATAATATAGGTAGATGAACAAAATGAAAACAATAAAAAGAAAGACGACAATGAAGGAAAGTGAGAGAGACAGAGGAAAGAAAAATAAAAGCAAAATATAAATAGAGAGAGACTCAAAGCAAAAACGAAGGAAAAGAGCGATACGCCAAAAGGAGGATAAAATGGGAGATAGAGAAAATGAAAAAAAAAAAAATGGACCGGTATATAATATGCAAGATAGGGAAGTGTAATGGTTAGCAAGTTTGTCTTGCTAGAACAATTACGACTGAGTAGAGTTCGATACTCACTGGGTGCCCCGTACTTTCGGCCTTGTGTCGCATCTATGCTACGCTTGGAAAATCAATATAATAAGCAAGATGCAAAAGGAGAAAGAGAAAAAATGAAATCAAGAAAAAGAGAAAGCTAAAAGAGAGAGAGAAAGAGAGAAAATAAAGTCAGAGAGAAAGAAAGAGAGAAATTGACTGATTTGGTTTTTTAACGGAATATCCACCCTTTCTGTGTTATTTGAGAAAAAAAAAGAAAAAGAAAAAAACAGAATCCAGAAAAAAAAAATTAAAAAAAAAGAAAAGAAGGTCTAAGTTATCTCATTGGAAAATTTCCCGCAATCTTCCTGGCAGTAATCCCAAAGCATATTGACATTGCGTGGTGTTCATTGGAGCACTTTTTTCTTCAGTTCCCACCACAAAGATTCACTTATATCGAAATCAGGATTTTGTGCAGGTCAGTTTTCCAAAGGTTGAATATCTTTATCCACAAGATAAAAAAACACTCCATCTTACTATTCCGGCAAAAGATTAGACCGTATTAAACTAAATATAGATTTCTCTGATTAGGCTTCCATCAACTTTTGCCAGTTTTCTTCTGCTATTGCTTTTGATGCAACCCGACACCATTACCTCTCCATTACCAAATTCTACCCTTTTTTGTGGTGTATCTCGCATTGTTTTATATATATATATATATATATATATATATATATATATATATATATATATATATATATATATATATATATATATATATATATATATATATATATATATATATATATATATATATATATATGTATATAAGAACATCTTTTATGTTTATACATTCATTTTATTGATAAAATATTTAAATAAATGCTCTGTTTATAATAAACAGTATTAATAACATTTACCGGCCTGAATGTCTGAGAAATTTTCACAGAAAATATTCGTCCTCGAAAGGTTCAGGACTATATATATATATATATATATATATATATATATATATATATATATTATGAAATTGACAAAGCCTGACAATTAATTTTAAGACGTTTTTATGTTTATACATTCTTTTTATGGATACAAATATTATGCTCTTTATAATAAACAGTATTAACGACATTTACCGGCCTGAATGTCCGAGAAATTTTCACAGAAAATATTCGTCCTCCGACAGGAATCGAAGCTGTATCCTATGCGGAATCGTCATATAGCCTGACGTGCCTTAACCGATTGAGCCACAGAGGATCGTTCAGTTAGCAAGGTCGATTTTACTGCTTTTAAACTACAATCTTCCATCAATCTCTCACGTACATTCATATCTGCTCAAAGCGTATCCAAATGAAAAAAAATGACGTGACGCATTACTCGCTTCATAATAACCATAGGGTCGCAGTTTGGAGTCCAGATGTAAGATGTGATGTGGTCACAGAAATTGTTTAACAGCCATAACTCGGTTTCTCTGCTTGTGTGGCATGGTGTAGAGTCATATTCTAGCATCCATTCACTTGACTCAGGGCAGTACTGCCTCCTCAAGTCACTTGATGTAGGCCTCCGTGTTGAGTCTGGGGTCCTGTGGAAAGATGAATGGATGCATTAATTCGCTTTCATTAAAATCAAACACAAACACCTTCATAATCACCATTAGACTCTTTTAACTCTTTCCAAATGCTCTGCGATGTCCTCAGATTGACACCCAAACACTCTGAAAAGTTCGCGCTGGAGAAGTACAGAGTGCTTTTTCCAAATTCCAAACGGAGAGAATTGCACCATGGTACTCTTTTTCTCACAGACTGTGACAAACTGACCCTACTATACTGTGCAGGCAATAAAATCAAAACCAAACAAAGCGCATGCGCGATATTAAAAATATAAAATGGCACCCTGTATATAACGTAAAACTTCTTCGTCTCTTGAAGAACACACTATTATGAATATGCACGTCGTAAATATAATGTATCTTTATGCTATAAGTATTTTATAAAAGGAAACTTTATCTGCAAAAGGATGAATATGTTTGTTTTATAGATTATGCAAAAGTGTTTGATAAAGTCCGTCGCAAAGAACTTTTGGAACTGCGAGGTAACCTTATATTTGGCATGGATATTAGAATAATCCAGAACCAATATTGGGAACTGTTGTAGCCTTGTTAGAGCCAGAAATAAAGACAAGAAAGGAATTGAGTCAAACAAATATATTAACAGAAATAGTAATACAAACATATACAAACAAGAGTGTT